TTCTTGAGGGCTTCCTTACCATCTGAACCAAAAGTTTTTGTTTTAAATTCCAGCCTCAACAATTTTCCTGTTATATCCCGCATTGCCTGAGAGCACAGATGGGGCCACAAGTTAAGAACCACCCTTTTCTGGGGGCACCCAGGTGGCTCAGTGGGTTAAACCTCTGCCTTTGGCTCAGGTCATGATCTCAGGGTCCTGGGATTGAGCCCCGCATCAGGCTCTCTGCCCAGCAGGGAGCTTGCTTGTATTTCTCTCTGCCTGCCTCTCTGCCTACTTGTGATCTCTCTCTCTCTGTGTCAAATAAATAAATCTTAAAAAAAAAAACAAAAAACAAACAAAAAAAACCCCACCCTTTTCCAACTTCCCCACCTCATCCCTTACACCTTCCAGCCACTTGAGACAGCCTAAGACTGGAATTATAGTGCTAGATTAGTAAATGTGACCTTTAATTAGTAGTCTCTCCTTTATTCTTTGGAATTTCTACTCTTTTCTAAAGAAAATTCAAGTTTTGTATAGCTGATCAGACATAAATAATGCTGATTTCACAGTTTAGCAATTATAATGGGTGTTTAAACATTTGGTACTAAACTATGTTGTTTTAAAGTCATTAAAGCTCAGAAGCCAGTTACTCCTGAACTATCCATTTATTTTATACTATTGTCAGGCAGCTCCGTAATTATTAATTTAATCAGTAAACCAATTTATCACTCATTAACTAAGAAACTATATTCTGAGAACCCTGTCAGGAACTATGGAGTTTAAAAATATGTAAAATAATGGCCTTTATCTTCCATAGAATTCATAATCTAGTATGAATGTTTTTCCTTAATAGTGTCTTCAATTTGGCTCTTTTCCCTCAAAAGAATCCTACTTAACAGGGCGCCTGGGTGGCTCAGTGGGTTAAAGCCTCTGCCTTCGGCTCAGGTCATTATCGAGCCCTGCATTGGGCTCTCTGCTCAGCAGGGAACCTGCTTCCTCCTCTCTCTCTCTCTGCCTCTCTGCCTACTTGTGAACCCTCTATCAAATAAATAAATAAATAAATAAACCTTAAAAAAAAAATCCTACTTATCTTAGGGGATTACAGGTGCATCTGACATTACATGACAGATATATGACAAGTTGTAAAAGAAATTTTATGCCTCTTCACATTAAAAATGTATTTACATTAAAAAAAAAAGAGTCCAATTTGGATCAAATTAAGTATCACTGACAGAAGTAATAAATACAGTGCAGCAATTAAGCACATGGGCTCTGTAGTCAGGCCAGCCTGCCTTTAAATCCAGTCTCCACCACATTACAGCAGATGAATCTGAGATGCTTGCAAAATGCCAGGCACAAAGTAGATACCAGTCTTATCACCCTCCACCTTCTAATAGCTTGACAATAATCTAAGAGTAATCCCATTTTCATCATTATTCCTAAAGTTATTAACTGAGCTACTGTCCTTTATAAATGTATATACCACACTCAAAGATCTAGTCGCATCTACCTCTGCTCTAATGAAAACAGAAGAAAGAGAAATTTTTGCTCTACTTAACAGAATTCACCCACAGCAACATAATTTAAAATTAACTCTTGGGTGCCTGGTGTGCAACTCTTGATCTCAGGGTCATGAGTTCAAACCCAATGTTGGCATTAGAGTTTACTTAAAAAATAAAAGTAAATTAACTCTTCACTTACAGATTCCCACTATTTACTCTTCCGGAAATCACCCCTAGATAATGACAGTAAGAAACAAAAAACTTGATTTCACTGTTACCCTGAAAAAGATCAATCCTAAATGCTCGAAGAGGGAGACAGGAGATTTGCCCTGATGCCCCTGGAAAGTGTAAACCTGAGGTAGCAGAGCAGGCAGAGTGAAGAAAGGGAGATAAAACAAGAAGACTATCCAAACAAGCACCTGAATGAGGAGTATAACTTTATCTATCTACTCTGTGGAATTTTAGCATTTAGTCTTGAAAACCAAGGGCTTTCCTACTTGCTGGCAAACAAAAAAATTCTCACCAAGATAAAGAAGAGAAAGTATGTCTTCTCATCTCACAGGTAGAGAACACCAGATCATATTGATTCACAAAGCTCTCCTCACAAGTGTTATTTCTAATTAATAAATCTTTTTAGACTACCAGATTTTGGAAGTTACTGCAATGTCTGCGGGGAAAAAACCCTTTATTTACCCCCTAAAAAAACTCTTAATTTTGCTATCTTACTGTCTAAGTAATTTGTTATTCTCATCCCAGGTATCAGAAGAGTCTAATTACATACGTGCTCTAGTTGTTAAGCCAGAAGGGGACCACTGACACTTGCTCTGTTCCCACAAGACCAAAGTCAAAAATATAACCAATGACTTAGAGCTTGAGTGTTAAATTACCTAGTTTTTCTTTAAAAAAAAAAAAGACTGGCTGCTCCCAGGGCAATGGTGGCAATTCACAAAGGGTACAATAAGAAATGTGTCACTGGGGCGTCTGGGTGGCTCAGTTGGTTGAGCATGACTTGTGACTTGGGCTCTGGTTATGACCCAGTGTCCTAGGATCAAGACCCATGTTGGGTCTTGATCCTAGGATCAAGCTCGGATCAAGCCTAGGATCAAGCTCGGCAGGGGGTCTGCTAGTCTCTTTCCCTTTGCTCCTCCCCCAACTCGAGCTTGCTTGCTCTCTTTCTAATAATTAAAATATTTAAGGAAAAAGAAATGTGTCCCTGGAGCTTTACATCAGAGAGGCTCTGAGGAAGAGGTCCCAGGGAACTGGAGGATAAGAATAGGAGAATTATCACTATAAATCCCTCTGCTCTGTTTGAATTTTGACACATCTAAATGTTATTACTTATTCACAGGTAATTAAAATTAAAAATTGTAAACCACCTTGGTGACTTGCAAATATCTAATCCTTCCTATTTATCTTAAATTACTAAATCCAACTCTTCTTACCCAACAAACCTGACTTCAGAAAGTCATCTTAGCATCTCTAATTCTGCATTTTCAATAAAATACCAGCACTCCCACAAATCACTAACCTCCTGAGTTATTTTTATTGTAAGCCTCTTTAGAATGCACAGGATTAACAAAATGAGCTTAGCAGTTATGTGCAGGGTGTCTTAAAACACCGACCAACTACTTTATGTCTGCCTGGAAACAACCCAAATACTGAAGAGATCATTGTGCTTTCGTGTATCATCAGTATTCAGTAGGTATTCAATAAATTCTTGAATGATTTGACATGATAGCCATAAAAATAAATCTTTTACCAATTCTGGCAACGCAATTTAATTTACCAAATGGAAAACATTAGGTACAAAATAAGACCATTAGAAAGAGCCCAGGGATGCCTGGGTGGCTCAGTTAAGCTTCTGCCTTTGGCTCAGGTCATGATCCCAGGGTACTGGGATCAAGCCTTTGCTCAGTGGGAAGCCTGCTTCTCCCTCTGCCTGCTGCTTCCCTGCTTGTGTGCTCTCTGACAAATAAAAGAAAAAAAAAATAGCCTAATTATTGAGAAAGGTAAAATAAAGTACATCTCGTCAATAAAATATAATGTAATTAAAAATTTAAAACACTGAATATGAAGATAAAACAGCAATGGTAAAAAATGTTTATGATAATATAAGCAGAAGTGGGGAAAAATTGGGGCGCAAAACTATATTAGGATTTATGATTTTTTTAAAAAAAGATTTATGTATTCATTTTAGAGAGAGAGAGAACATGTGCACACAAGTTTGGGGAAAGGCAGAGGGAGAGAATCCTCAAGCAGATTCCCCACTGAGCCGGAAACCCAATGCCAGAACCCGAAGAGGGACTCAATCCTACGGTGTATGAGATTATGACCCGACCTTTAACTGACTGAGCCACCTAGGCACCCTTACAACTATGACCTTAAAAAAAGGACTAATGTAAGAGTCCACCATATAAAATGATACCATTTATATAAAGTTCATGGAGCACCTGGGCAGCTCAGTTGGCTAAATACCCAACTCTTGGTTTCAAGCTCAGATCATATTTCAGGGTCTTGAGATGGAACCCAGCAGCCAGTTCTATGCTTACAGCAGCTTGCTTCGGATGCTCTTTCCCTTCTCCCTCTGCCCCTCCCCCACCCACATGCACTCTCTCTCTTAAAATCTTAAAAATAAATAAATAAATAAATAAAATAAAATAAAAATAAAGTTCAAAAACAGGCAAAACTAATCCATAATGTTTGAAGGACATTAATCGCTTCTGAAATGAGGAGGGATAGTAACTAGCAGGAGAATCCAGGAGAGTTACTAGGGATGCTAGTCATGTTGTTTCTTGATCTGTTGTTACACCAAAGTGTTGCTCACTTTGTGAAAATCCACTGAGCTGCACACTTAGGATTTGTGCTCTTATGGACATTATACTTCACTGAAAAATCTTAAAACTCCTATCTAAAACAAAAGATAAAAATAAATATACCCAAATACTAATCATATTCAGGTGGCAGGATTATAAAACTTTTTCTTTCGTTTCCTGAATTTTAGAGATTTTCGGAAATACATGCTTAGACACTCTTAAAACCTTTCTAAAATAATTGAGTAAGTGCTTCCTATGTACTAGATCTTCTTCAAAGTACTTAATGTATTTATATTAAATCATCTAGTCTTCATAACAACCCTATTAAGAGGTTATTATTGTCATTTTAAAAGAAGAAACTACAACACTGAGGTTAAGTAACTTACTCAAGATGACACAGCTAATAACTGGGAGAGCCATAATTTGAACCAAGATACCCAGGTTCCCAAGTTCATGGTTTGAAACACTATCCATCCATCTTCATAATAAAACCTTACTTTTTTTATAGTGGAAAAAAAAACCAGTAATTAATAAACTAATTTATTCTATCAATCTGAGTCATTACTACTGTACTACTACGTAGGTAGCTCTCTGTGCAGTCGGATGCTAAAATATAGGAGCAAATTTGCATATTAGAGTAAGTGGCATAATCCTGGAGTAATTAGAAGTTACTTAAAGCTTATAGGAGTATACATGAGAAATATACCTCTCTTCTATTCTGTTCTTATCCAGGAGAGGCTGCTTAATCCACTGGTTGACCAGTCTTTGTCCCTGAGGGGTTTTGCATTTATTCAGCAGTGCAGCCAGAGACTGAGAGCCAGTAGTATCTTCAACAGAACCCTAGCAAACAAAAAACAAAGCAGGAAGAATGGCATGCTCATTAGTAAAAACCTTACTGTGCCATGAAAAATAATTAAAGAATTTTAGAAATAAGAACACGAATATTCTTCAAATACTAAATGAGAAATTTGCACAAAGGTTCCTCTTCCTCAGCTGGATCACTGTCAGGCTGGATGTCAGTCTATACTGCAGCACCTGAGTATTTTGAATCCACATAGTCAAAGCAGTAGCTTCTTAGATGCCATCCTTTGTTTAACCTAGCACTTCCCATTTCCATTCTTTTATGACCTCCAAAGTGTGGTGACCTCACTTTAAATACTGTCCCATTTTGGGACGCCTGGGTGGCGCATCAGTTAAATGTCTACCTTCAGCTCAGGTCATGATCTCAGGGTCCTGGGACCGAGTCCTGCATCAGGCTCCCTGATCAGCGGGGAATCTGCTAGAAATTCTGTGTGTCTCTCCCTCTGCCCTGCTTGTGCTCATGCTCGTGCGCTCTCTCTCTCTCATGTAAATAAATAAAAATCTTAAAAAACAAAATTCCCATTTTGTCATTCTAACCCATCTCTGGGGAACTGGGACTAATGGCCAGAAAAAGCCCATTGAAAGTCTTGGATAAAGCAAACCAGTGATCACTTGAACATGGCACGTGAGAGGCCCCCAGTTGGGTGGAAGCCTAGCCTATGTCTCACAGTACTTTAAAATGTATTTATGTGTGTATAAATGCATGATACATATTCACATGTTTTGCCATGGCCATATGTTGACAGCCAACATAACTGGCACACAGGGTCCATTAGCGGAAATGAAACAGTCTTTTTGGTGGCTATTAAAGCAAAGTGTGTATAAAGAAATAAACATTTTTTCAAAAAAAAAAAAAAAAAAAGAAATAAACATTTTTTCTAAAAAACAAAAAACCGTCTTCCTAAAATCAAATTTTCAACCATTAATCTGTATTTTCTGTAGTGTATTTTCCATAAACCAAAACCACTTTATAATACTACAGTTCTAGACATAAAACTTCTTAAACTGTAATTTTTAAAAAACTGCTATTAATAAAACTAGTCATAAACCCAGGACAAATACTACTTATACAGGTGGCAACTAGCAATTTTAAAAACTGCCTATCTATTCTAAATATAATATTTTAAAATATTTAAGTTCCTTAACAGTATTCTTCAGTATATAACAAAGGAAACATAACCATCAAAAAAAATTTTTTTTAACATTTTGTTTATTTACCTGACAGACAGAGATCACAAGTAGGCAGAGAGGCAGGCTGAGAGAGAGGGGGAGAAGCAGGCTCCCTGCTGAGCAGAGACCTCAATGCGGGGCTCAATCCCAGGACCCTGAGATCACGACCCGAAGCGAAGGCAGAGGCTTAACCCACTGAGCCACCCAGGCGCCCCTACCATTCAATATTTTTTTAATCCATGTGTTTTGTTTGCTTGTTTGTTTTACCTGGAAAAGGTTAAGGGCTCTGACTGCTGCAATATCCAACTTCATGTACTGGCTGAAGTCAAACATAGTCAGTTCAAACTGTCCGAAGTTCGAATCATCGGATAGGAGATCTAAAAACTTGATTACTGCAGACAATGATGAAGCTGCAACCTAAGATGAAGAATTTAAAATAAAAGATTCTATCACTAGAATCCTAGAGATTTAAAAAAAAGAAGGCAAAATGGAAATAAATTCTAAACATGATCATTTTCCTTGGTGTTCCTTCCCAATCTAAATCAAGAAAATGATAAGAGTTTAAATAAATTTCGCTTAAGATTAGAAAACGACTTTTAGAAAGTGAAAATTCACTTTAACAGTAGCACTATTTACAACACCCGAAAGTAGAAATGACCAAATGTTTACCAAGTTTGGTATGTTCACCCCTATGGTATACTGCACAAAAAAAGCATATAAGCACCAACAATCCAGGGACACATGACAATATGGATAAATCTCACAAACATAATACTAAACAAAAGAAAACCAGCATAAAAGGCTACAAACTACATGATTCCATTAATATAGACTATTAAAAACAGGCCAAACAAATCTGTGCTGTCAGAGTTGAGAACCAGGGTTACCCTTGGTGGGGTAATGACTAGAAGGAAGCATAAAAAAGGTCCTTGAGGTACTGGTACTATCTTGTCTCATGGATACTGATTATTTGGGTATTTGCAATTTATGGTAATTCAGTTATACACTTATGATATATGCATTTTCCTACACATGTATTTAATAGGAAGTTTCAGGGTACCTGGGTGGTTCAATCAGTTTAAGTGTCTGACTCTTAATTTTGGCTCAGATCATGATCTCAGGGTCCTGAGATTGGGCTCAGTGGGGTTCTACATGGGGTCTGCTTGAGATTCTGCCTTTCTATCTGCCCCTCCCCCCCATCAGAACACCCCTTCTCTAAATAAATGAAATCTTTTGAAAGTAAATAAATAAGTTTAAATAAACTGTTATTACTGTAACAAAGAAGTTTCAGGACATTAAACTGATAGCCCAAAGACAAATCCTACATATTAAAGTATACTTAAGGGCACCTATGTGGCTCAGTCAGTTAAGCATCTGCCATCAACTCAGGTCATGATCTCAGGGTCCTGGGATGGAGCCCCGCATTGCACCCCACATCACATCACACAGCACACTGCATCTCACTGGGCTCCCAGCTCAGTGGGGATTCTGTTTCTCCCTTGCCCTCTGCCCCTCCCCCATTTGTTCTCTCTCTGTGCCAAATAAATAAATAAAATCTTTAAAAATAATGAAATGGGGCGCCTGGGTGGCTCAGTGGGTTGGGCCTCTGCCTTTGGCTCAAGTCATGATCTCAGGGTCCTGGGATCGAGTTCCACATCGGGCTCTCTGCTCAGCGGGGAGCCTGCTTCCCGCCCCATCTCTCTCTCTGCCTGTCTCTCTGCCTACTTGTGATCTCTGTCAAATAAATAAATAAAATCTTTTGAAAAAATTTTAAAAAATAATGAAGTAAAATATACTTGGTATTAGATTGTGAATTGTAATTTATTTTCCCTAATCGAAAACAGTCATCTATGTGTCCTTACCAAACTCTAGCAAATGCCTAAGACTGTCAGAATTTCCTGCAATGTCACCACACAGATAAAAACACTTTTTAATAACCCTAAGAGTTTCTTCATATTTTCAAGAAGTAAGTTTCTAATACCAGTATTACTACTCATACATACTGGCTTCTGATTGTGTCACACACACAAACATTCAAATAATTACTGAGTTTATAAGAATCAAACTATCACACAACAGTAAATCACCACAAAATCCCGTATCATTAATAGTTCAAGTTCATTCTAGTTCTAAGTCTACTTTCAGAATTCTAAGTCATAAAGCTTGTTCTTTTATTTATTCTTTTTTTAAAAGATTTTATTTATTTGACAGAGAGAAAGATCACAAGTAGGCAGAGAGGCAGGCAGAGAGAGAGGGGGAAGCAGGCTCCCTGCTGAGCAGAGAGCCTGATGTAGGGCTCAATCCCAGGACCCTGAGATCATGACCTGAGCCGAAGGCAGAGGCTTAACCCACTGAGCCACCCAGGTCTCAAGTTTGTTCTTTTTTAAGCATACAATGGAATTTTTCATTTTACTTATCAGGGATCCACCAAATATCATGTAAGAGCTTCTAAAATATTTTTAAATACATAAGAATACATCTCAAACCATACCCACCCCAAATTTATGAACAAAGAAACACTTCAACCACTGAAAATCCTGTAAGAAATTACATTATTTCCATATTCATTTTTACCACTAAACATACATAACTAGTGTCATTCTTTTAGCCTGTTTAAATGTAATATTTAGGGATGCCTGGGTGGCTCAGTTGGTTAAGCTGCTGCCTTCAGCTCAGGTCATGATCCCAGGGTCCTGGGATCGAGTCCCATGTCGGGCTCCTTACTCAGCAGGGAGTCTGCTTCTCTCTCTCTGCCTCTGCCTGCTGCTCTGCCCACTTGTGTTCTCTCTCTCTCTCTCTCTCTGACAAATAAATAAATAAAATCTTTTTAAAAAATAAATAAAAATAAATGTAATATTTATTATGCGCTACATGCTATATTTACTTTCACCCTTATTACTTCCAGATCTTCACAACAATCCTTTAAGATTATTTATTTAACAAACAATGAAACTGCCTCTCAAACAGGTGAAGTAATTATAATTAATTAAAGAACCCAGAACTTGTACATTATAATGCTGCGATAGGTCTTTTTTCCCCCCTACAACCACTATACTATCTCGTCCATGTAAGAGACAGGATCAGGCTCTTTCCTGTGAAATCAATAAAATTCTTTCTTGTCCCCAAAGACATATGTGTATAAATATAATGTGATTATATTTAAGATTGTTTTAATTTTTCTAGTCATTTCCTTAAGTTTTTCACAAGCTTCCTCACAGTAAAAATAAACTTAGTATCAATGATCCATAGTTTAGACTTTGAGAGAAATGAAACAAGTAGCCTTCTAAAGTCATGATTATAATTTACACAATTTATATGTAAGAGTAAATTTGTATTTTAATCCACATACCTGATTCTCCATTTCTGGCAAGACAGCACTATTCACCTGCTCTCCCTTTTTGCCTTTCAACAACCGGTTGAGGTCCTGATAGATATCTTTTGTCAAAAAGTCAGCTCTTTTTCTTTCTGTGATCAGAATTCCTCCTCTCTGAATAACCTATTTTACAAGAAATAATTTAAATTACTTCAAGAAAAGGATTTTTTTAAAGAGATTTTATTTATTTATTTGACAGACAGAGATCACAAGTAGGCAGAGAGGCAGGCAAGAGAGAAGAGGAAGCAGGCTCCCTGCTGAGCAGAGAGCCCAATGCAGGGCTCGATCCCAGGACCCTGGGATCATGACCTGAGCCGAAGGCAGAGGCTTTAACCCACTGAGCCACCCAGGCACCCCAAGAAAAGAATTTTTTTTAAAAATGAGAAAAAACTATATACCACAAGTACAGTAACAACAGCTTAACCAATTATTAGCCCACATTAAATTTTTATATAATGTGCAAGATATTGGTAATTTATAAACATGTATTTTTAAAATCTATAAACTAAGTTTCCATGACAATTTAAAATTATTTTCACATAAAGCTTTCAAAAAATAGTCCCAACAGTAAAAACTCTTAACAAAATAAACACCTGTGGAAAGTTGCTTAAATACTAATCTATGCTAACAATGCCCATCATAGTTTTACTCTTTCCCAAGCAGTTCCTATGGCATTTGAGGCCCACAAAAAGAAAAAAGAACTCTTAGGAGACACGACATCCTTTAAATACCTAAATAAAGCATACACTTACCCAAACAATACAATCAGAATTTTTTAAAAAGACTCAGTAAAAGAGACTAAAAGTAGGGGCGCCTGGGTGGCTCAGTGGGTTAAAGTCTCTGCTTTCAGCTCAGATCATGATCCCAGGGTCCTGGGATTGAGCCCCACACTGGGCTCTCTGCTCAGCAGAGAGCCTGTTTCCTCCTCTCTCTGACTGCCTCTCTGCCTACTTGAAATCTCTGTCAAATAAATAAATAAAATCTTAAAAAAAAAAGACTAAAATTTCCACTTGAACTATCAAAAAATAACCCTGAAGCTTTACATCTTACTTATTTGATAAACCCATGCTACATACAGTAATAAACTTTTTTTTTTTTTTAAATGGACCTAAATCACCTTCCCCACCCCTCAACTGTGAAAGCATTCCTTTTCATCAGTTGTGATCCCTTTAAGATGACATTCTGTTACTCTTTTAGGAAGGAAAGGAGGAGGGGGAAAATGATCTGAAGTAGAACAAGTCTTCAACAAGAAACAGCCTGTTGTAGTGTCCTCAAAGATACAAAGTTTCTGTGAAAGATAAACATCAAGATTATCCTGAAAATACCTTACTGTACTTAGATAAAAAAAGTTGAGTTCTGAATTATTTTTTTCTTTAAATAAAGGTGTCTGTTATGTTAATGAGTCTTTCCTAGGCTTAGATCTCCTCCATCACTAACTTGATTCCCTTACCTGCCTCAGTTTTCCCATGTCTCCAGCAGTCTCTCCTCCTGGCAGGACACATTCCTTTGGTCCAATCTGAATCAGAAGAGCCTCCAAATTGGAGAACTGATCATTATCAGGGAACTCACAAAGTCCTAGCTTCCTCTGTATGGAGTCAACATACCCAACTCCGACCTGTCTTTGGCCATCAACTGTAGACATTTTAATACCCACAACACCAATGGAAGCTGACATATCATTGTTACCAAAGAGAATGTCTTCGAACTGCGAAAGATTGCCTGGAGAAGCCTGAACAAAAATAAAGAAAAATTTTCAAAACTGTTGAATGTACTTAAAATTTTACTAGCAAACAAGCATTACCCAACCTTGACCCATTTCATTAACAAAATGTTCTCTTAAAAAAACTGTTTATAGGGTGCCTGGGTGGCTCAGTGGGTTAAGCCTCTGCCTTCGGCTCAGGTCATGATCTCAGGGTCCTGGGATCGAGTCCCGCATCGGGCTCTCTGCTAGGCAGGGAGCCTGCTTCCTCCTCTCTCTCTCTCTGCCTGCCTCTCTGCCTACTTGTGATCTCTCTCTGTCAAATGAATAAATAAATTCTTTAAAAAAAAAAAAAAAACTGTTTATAACAATATATTCTAATTATTATTATCTCATTTTCTATAAAGTATCCTCCCTATTTTTTCCAATTATTTTCAGGACATTTGATCATATCTAAAAATAAATTTATCAGTCTGTTAAGTATCCTACTTGGTTTCAGCTCAGGTCATGACCTCAGGGTCCTAGGATGGAGCCCTGCATTAGGCTCCATGCTCAGTGTGGAGTCTACTTGAGACTGTCTCTCCCTCTGCCCCTCCTACTCACAGTGTCTCTCTCTCAAATAAATAGAATCTTAAAAAAAAATAATAAAAATTATAAAAATCTTTAAAAAGTGTATAAATGAGGTATTTGGGATCTGTGTTAATAGTTAATAGTTAATCTGTGTGATACTACTTTAAAAACAATAAAATCAAATCTTTGTTTAATGCTGGTATTCAATTTTACATAAAATCTATTTTCTTATTTAGGTTTCAGGGATATTGACAAAGCTTCAAGTATTCATACTCCTAATAAGGATTTACTGAATTTTTAAACTGCTATTAAACCATGATTTTAAAAACCACATGCTAAAGAATATTTCTCAAAGCATTTTATCACAACCTGATTAAAATATTAAAACACACAAGCGAAGTCCCTCACATCTTTATTTTTTCTACTCTTAAAAATAATAACCAAATTAAAGAGGAAGATAATTACCTTAAATGCCAAATACCAATCATTCTCCTTTGAGGCCTTACTTCCAGCTCTATTCTTATAAACTTCAACTCTGTACTGTCGAACTAGAAGAAGATCTTTTACAAAAGACTCAAAATTCATTTTACTAAGCACAACACTCTCCAAGGTCTTTGTTCCTAAAGAAAAATATTAAAAATACATATTACACATTTGAGGACTTAAAGTGGTTAAGTGTTCAGGTACCTAACACAATGGCTCCCCCCCACCCCCGCAAAGCTACATTCTTCTCTCAGTAATTCATTCTTTCAATAAACTGTTTATCAAGTACTTACTACTCATTCCAGTTGAAGGGTATAAAAAGATGAATAGATGTAGCACCCAACCTTTTTCTGTGGAACCTATGCATCAAAATAAAAAATTAAAAAGACACAAAGATAGGAGCACCTGGGTGGCTCAGTCAGTTAAGTGTCTGCCTTCAACTCAGGTCCTGTTCTGGGATTGTGGGATTGTAGGGCTCCCTACTCAGCAGGGAACATACTTTTCTCCCTTTCCTCCCCACTCATGTTCTCTCTTGCTGTTTCTCTCAAATAAATAAATAAATAAAATCTTAAAAAAGAAAAAGAAGAGGAGGAGGTGGAGGAGGAGGAAGAAAATAATACAAAGACAGGGGCGTTTGGGTGGCTCAGTTGGTTAAGTGTCTGCCTTCACCTTGGGTCATGATCCCAGGGTTCTGGGATTGAGCCTCATATCAAAGATAAAAAAGAGTAGGGGCGCCTAGGTGGCTCAGTGGGTTAAGCCTCTGCCTTCAGCTCAGGTCATGATCCTAGGGTCCTGGGTCGAGCCCCGAATCAGGCTCTCTGCTCAGCGGGGAGCCTGCTTCCCCCTCTCTCTCTGCCTGCTGCTCTGCCCTACTTGTGATCTCTGTCTGTCAAATAAATAAATAAAATCTTAAAAAAAAAAAAGATAAAAAAGAGTAAATGCATATCCAGCTAAACTTACTTGTCCTTTCTTATAATTAGTTTCTCAGAATTTTGAATAAAAATCTTATAACTATACAGTATTTGTATGTAATTAAACTTTTCCCGAAAGGCCCATAAAAATATGTCATTATTCACTGCAAAATGTTCTAGATAACGCAGGTTAAAATTCAAAGGTTCAAAGAAGTACTGCAAAAAGAAGACTTCCCTTTCACCAATGATCCCCTACATATCCAATTCACCAGCCAAGTGCTATCAGTTTATAAAATATATTCCCAAACACAAGCTATACACATACAAGCATTACTTTGTTCCTCTCTTACATCAATAAGGACATACTACAAACACTGTTCTGTATCTTGGCTTTTTTCTTTTTTAACATCTGAATATACTTTGGAGGTTGTTCCATCATTACAATCAGCTTCTTTCTGTTTACAGCTGCAAACATTCCAATGACTCTGAGGATGTTCTATAATTTAATTAGTCTCTTACTGATGGACATACAGGTTGTTTCCAGTCTCTACTATTACAACAACGCTGCACAATCTTGTACATGCTTCACTCTCCAAACAGGTGAGCACATCTGTAAGACAAAGCCCCCAACTGGATTTTATCAAAGAATATGAGTGATTTTGATAAATACTGCCAGAACATTCTCCTTGGTTGGCTGTGCTAATTAGCACCATCATCCATAAAGTATGAGTGCATCTATTTCCCCTCTCCAATCAACATAGAGTTTTCAAACTTTTTGGTCTTTATTTTAGATCAATGGTTTTCAACTGGGAACAATCTTGCTTCTCTAGCAGATGTTTGGAGGCATGTGGGTTCTTACAACACTGGGTTTCATTCAGTAGAGGTAATATCGACTATTCACTTAATGGTAATACTTGTTAGGGCATCTGGGTGGCTCAACTGTTAAGTGTCTGCCTTCGGCTCAGGTCAAGATCCCAGAGGGTCCTGGGATTGAGCCCCTGCTTTGGGCTCCCTGCTTGGTGGGAGGCCTGCTTCTCCCTCTCCCACTCCCTCTGCTTCTGTTCCCTCTCTGTGTCAAATAAATAAAATCTTTAAAAAAAAAAAAAAAAAAAAAGCTAATACTTGTAGATTATTCTGACAATTCTGGATCTTTTTTTTTTTTTTTTTAAAGATTTTATTTATTTATTTGTCAGAGAGAGAGAGGGAGATAGAGCAAGCACAGGCAGACAGAATGGCAGGCAGAGGCAGAGGGAGAAGCAGGCTCCCTGATGAGCAAGGAGCCCGATGTGGGACTCGATCCCAGGACGCTGGGATCATGACCTGAGCCGAAGGCAGCTGCTTAACCAACTGAGCCACCCAGGCGTCCCAGACAATTCTGGATCTTATTAAAAGTTTAACCTAGGGGCGCCTGGGTGGCTCAGTGGGTCAGAGGCTTTACTCTGCCTTCGGCTCAGGTCATGATGCCAGGGTCCTGGTATTAAGCCCCACATCGGGCTCTCTGCTCAGCAGGGAGCATGCTTCCTCCTCTCTCTGCCTGCCTCTCTGCCTACTTGTAATCTCTGTCTGTCAAATAAATAAATAAAATCTTAAAAAAAAAAAAAGTTTAACCTAAATTTAATAATAGATCATGCCAAGTACAAATATCAAATACAAACAAGCATAAGATTAATTAAATGACATAAGGCAACTGTTTTGTACAGCTAAGCACAGGTGATACTTCCAATATCCCTTTCATTAGTTACAAGTACTAGCAAGAATTCCCACTGTGTGACATGGTGAAAAAGGGCTCAAATCTTGCCTCTCTTAAGGTTCTTCCCTAGAACATTCTGTACCTCACCCAGGACTGGCAAACAATTATCTACAGCAACCAGGCAGGTATCAAACGAGCAAAGGAAGAGCAACAGACCTGACATGGCAGGTGGCTTCAAAAGAGATCATATGGAGTGGTCGAAACAGTGACAAAAGAAGGAAAAGCACACTGGGGTACAGGGTTATGTCAGAGAGAGCAGCCACTCAGCTTCAAACACACTGCTGAACCATGGGGATATTTATACCCAGAGTTTTCAACTGCACAGAATTTTCAAAAGCAGCTCAAAATATGAATTTTTTTCCTGAAATCTCCCTATCTTTAAAATATAGTCAATCAGGGCGCCTGGGTGGCTCAGTGGTTAAAGCCTCTGCCTTCGGCTCAGGTCATGATCTCAGGGTCCTGGGATTGAGTCCCGCATCCGGCTCTCTGCTCAGCAGGGAGCCTGTCTCCTCCTCCTGTCTCTCTCTGCCTGCCTCTCTGCCTTGTGATCTGTCTGTCAAATAAATTAAAAAAAAAAAAAAAATCTTTAAAAAAAATATATATATAGTCAATCAGTTCAAACTTGGAGCAAAACCCTATTTAGGATACCAATTTCAACTCAGTAAGTTTAGCAGTCACATTTTCTTACAGACTTGAATAGACTGCTATTTCTTTAGGTTGCATTTAGACAGCAAGTTGCATGAGAATTATGTTTACTCTAGAATCCCATTCAACAAGGTCTGTACTCACATTCTCAGAGGCATGTGCAAGACTGAAGGCCTCCAGCCTGCAACAGGTTCGTATCTCCTAACTAACACTCACTCAGGATTAGAACCTGAGTGGAATGGTCAGCCCTATCTAAATTATTTCCTGGTTTTGCCTAAAACTCTTCCCATTTTGCCCGAGACTCTCCCAGTTTTAATACTGAAAGTTTGGTGTTCCAGAAGCCCCCTCAGTCCCAAGCAAATGAGAATGATTGGTCAGCCTACCAACCCATCTAGTTAAATTCCCTGTGAGTAACATTATTCAAAAGATGAGACATCATAAAAATAAAAACAAGGGGGGAGCACCTGGGTGGCTCAGCGGGTTAGGCCTCTGCCTTTGGCTCGGGTCATGGTCTAAGGGTCCTGGGATCGAGCCCCGCATCGGGCTCTCTGCTCAGCAGGGAGCCTGCTTCCTCCTCTCTCTCTGCCTGCCTCTCTGCCTGCTTGTAATCTCTCTCTGTCAACTAAATAAATAAAATCTCTAAAAAATAAATAAATAAATAAATAAAAATAAATAAAAACAAGGGGAAAAAAAAACTTCAAGAAAAGCAGCACAGGCACCTGGGTGGCTCAGTCAGTTAAGCGTCCAACTCTTGGTTTCCGCTGAGGTCATGATCTCATGGTCTTGAGATCAAGCCCCACGTTTGGTTCTGCATGGAGTCCACTCTAGAGATTCTCTCCCTCTGCCTCTCCTCCTGCTAGTACAGACTCGCTCTCTAAAATAAATAACTCTTTAAAAAAAATATAGCACCAAACTAGAGTTAATATAAAATCAGAGAATTTCTCCCAAAGGTTCTGATAAACACCACTGTGAATTTTACCAGCAACTTCCAGTAAATACAACAGTGAGTTTCAAAAACAGTTTTTCATATTATCCTTTAAATTAAAAGGCAAAATGTAAAATCCAACTCAACAAAAACAATTCTGAGAGGGGGAAAAAACAAGATTAGTCTGGCAAAATTGTGAAACAGCTCTTAAATCAAACCAGGATATGCCAGCAGAACTGTCTGCCCAGCACAGGATTTTTAAAGTACTTGATATTGAATGCCATTACAGGATGAACAAGCACTCTCAGATCCACAAGCCCCACCCCTCCCTATTACACCCAACTACTTTGCACATCAATGTTATCTACCTGGGTCCAGAGCAAACTGGTCAAAACTTTCTACCGCCACTTTTTAAAAAAAGATTTTATTTATTTATTTATTTGAGAGAGAGAGAGAGAGAGAGAGAAAGAATATGAAAGGAGAGAGGTCAGCGGGAGAAGCAGACTCCCCACAGCACAGGGAGCCTATGTGGGACTCGATCCTGAAAGTCCAAGATCATGACCTGAGCCAAAGGCAGTCGCTCAACCAACTGAGCCACCCAGGAGTCCCTCTACCCACAACACTTTGAACAGAAACACAGAGTCACAACAGTGGTGATTTCTTAAGAGTGGGTGGAGTGAAGAGATAAATGAGATGATTCCTCTCCCCCATGGCCTCCTCTACCTCTATTGCTAATAAGACAGTCAGGTCACCCAACTGCCAAGGTTATCCTGTGAAGTTACTATTTCTCTCAAAGGAGTTTTTGTGACACACTGGGTGGTGGTGCATTTTAAGTCTTATTTACTGATGAGCACCGAAAGTGCTACTCTAGGTTCCTGGTGAAGAGACTGGCATTATATGCTTTATCTAACCTGCTGGGAAGTAAAACTGACGTGGTGTGAAATAAGAGAACAGGAACAGAAAGGTACCCAGCCTCCACCTAGGGTACAGCAGAAGGAAGAGCCTCAGGTTCATATAAGATTCTTCAAGAATAATTTGGAGCCCCCAGCCTCATTGAGATGACAATTACCATGTGTCTGCTACATGTGGGCATCATGCTAGGGGCTAGAGTTCAGAGGAAGACACTGGTTAAAATACAGGTTCTGCTAAGAGCTTTCAGTCTATTGGGATACACAGGCAATAGGTAGAATAAATGCTATGTCTAGGGTAAGAAGGCCCAAGAGCAGCGAATACCTAAGAGGAGTAGGGCAGCTAACCAGGCAGTCTTAACAGGGAAATCAAGAAAGGCTCCCAACAGGAGATGCTTTCTAAGCTGAATTCTGACCAAAAAAAAAAAAAAAAAAAAAAAGAGGCAAAACCCAAGTAATTTTCTTTTTCAGTGACTCAGATTTCTTATCCATAAATTGGAGCTCGGTACTAACCCATCTCACAGGGCTTTTTTTAAATAATACTGTGATCATTAAATGTTGAAGAATAAAAGTAGTTTAAAAGACGTGAGTAAGTCTACCTGCCAGTAGAATGAACCAGAGAAGAGGAAACAGAAAGCCAACTCTGAAAGAGGGGATTGGGATCCAGACCACAGCAAAAGGCTCATCTCTTCACTGGCACAATAGGGAGGAAAAAATGGGTACAGATGAAATTAAAAAGTACAGGTTCAAGAAATAACCCAAATGTCTGTGAACTGGCAAATGGGTAAAAACAAGATAAGATATATCCATACAATAGAGTATTTTTTGGCAATAAAAAGAAATGAAGTACTGATAGCAGAGATGAACCCTGAAAATATTAAGTGAAAGAAGTCAGTCATGAAAGACCACATATTTTATGATTCCATTTTTTAAAAGATTTTATTTCTTTATTTGAGAGAGAGAGATACAGCAAGCAAGCATGAGCAAGGGAAGGGGCAGAGGGAGAAGCACACTTTCCGCTGAGCAGGAAGCCAGAAGCAGGACCTGGTCCCAAGACCCTGAGATCATGACCTGAGCCTGAGGCAGATGCTTAACAAACTGAGCCACCCAGGTGCTCTTAGGATTCCATTTTTATGCAATGTCCAGGGTAAGTGAAATCTAGAGAGATGAGAGGTTAGTGGTTGCCCAGCATTGGGAGAATTGGGGGAAGGGGGTGTGTTACTGCTAATGGGTGCAGGGTTTCTTTTGGGGACAGAAAAAAATGTTTTATTTATTTATTTATTTATTTATTTTTTAAGATTTTATTTATTTATTTGACAGACAGAGATCACAAGTAGGCAGAGAAGCAGGCAGAGAGAGAGGAGGAAGCAGGCTCCCAGCTGAGCAGAGAGCCTGATGCAGGGCTCGATCCCAGGACCTTGAGATCATGACCTGAGCCGAAGGCAGAGGCTTTAACCCACTGAGCCACCCAGGCGCCCCCAGAAAAAAAATGTTTTAAAAATTTACTGTGGGGGCACCTGGCTGGTTCAGTTGATAGAACATCCATCTGACTCTTGATCTCAGGGTCTTGAGGTCAAGCCCACGTTGGGTGTAGAGATTACTTTAAAAACAAATATATAAATAAATAAGATGTACTGTGGTGGGGCACCTGGGTGGCTCAGTCAGTTGAGCATCCAACTCTTAGCTCAGGTCTTGATCTCAGGGTGCTGAGTTCAAGCCCCATGTTGGGCTCCACACTGGGCATGGAGCCTACTTTAAAAAAAAAAAAAAAGATGTATTGCCATGATGGTTGCTTAACTTTGTGAATATACTAAAATCCACTGAATTATAAAACAGAACACTGAAATGTTTACACGTGTCAATCAAAAGTAAATGTGTGAATCATACTGTATGTGAATAGTATCTCAACAAACCTGTTATATTAAAAAAAGTATCCTTTTGGGGCGCCTGGGTGGCTCAGTGGATTAAAGCCTCTGCCTTCCGCTCAGGTCATGATCCCAGAACCCTGGAATCCAGCCCCACATCGGGCTCTCTGCTCAGGAGGGAGCCTGCTTCCTCCTCTCCCTCTGCCTGCCTCTCTGCCTACTCGTGATCTCTGTCAAATTAATAAATAAAATCTTAAAAAGAAAAAAAAAAGGACCCTTCTGAGGGCAGGAAATTGAGAGAGTTCTAACAATTTGTCTTCTACTGAGACAAGTTTGACTGCTAAAGAATGTGGGAAAAGGTCGGAGGCTCTGAGATTTGCCTCAAGTGCAAGTGCACATGACCCTCATCAGGTTATTTACAGTTCATCAGGCCTTACAATCCAGGCATAATTTACCAATCTGGGGTCATTTCTCAATAAGCAATGCTGCCTAGAAATATAACTAATCTTAATTTGATCAAGGTTACCAGTTGGAATAGAGAAGCACAGAAAAAGGTTTTGTTAACCCTTTACCTAAATGGTCTAATATTGAAATGAAGGAAAATTCCTTCCAAGAAACAAGTATTGGTAGCCTCACACCAACATACATTATTTAAAAAGATGCTCTGTTACACTGCATCTTGTACAGTGAAAACTGCAAGACACCCACTTTGGGGATCTCCGAGACATTTTTGAGAACCTCCCTCTTTCACTTATTTCAGCCAATTTCTAGTAACAAATGATCTATCTTTTTCTAACTGTTATTATCCAGGGCGCCTGGGTGGCTCAGATGGTTAAGCGTCTGCCTTCAGCTCAAGTCATGATCTCCTGGTCCTGGGATCCAGCCCCAAGTCCGGCTCCCAGCTCAGCAGGGGAGTCTGCTTCTCCCTCTCCACTTGCTTGTGCTCTCTCTCTCAAATGAACAAATAAAATCTATAATTAATTATTTAATTTAAAAAATTTCACTGTTACTATCCCACCGGAACATACAGTAGGACAATCTTTTACCTAAAATGCGTGTTTGGCATAAATGTTTAACCTAAGAACTAGATCCTTAAGAATAACTCACATTTACTTGCTAATCTCTGAAAAGTTAAATTCACCTTTAACACCATTCTCAATATGAACAGGAAGTGACAATCTAGATTATTCTTAGGAATGCACCCAGTAAACGCCTACATTTTAACTTTCAAGAGCAATGAAAGGAAATTTTTTTTTTAAAAGTCTATACTCCACTATAGAAGATTCTGGATATTCATACTAAACTTCCTTCCCAGTAAATGTGTGTAAAGCTTAGCATCCATTATTCGTTTCATAATCTAAATTAGAAAAATAAAAACATTAGACTCATTAACGGGTGCTTAAAAAAATCAGTGATTCAATTTACAGAACCTTACAAGTATGTTTAGAACTTTTTACATCATTTTAAGTGCTTAAATTATTCTAAGCTGCATAATACAAAAATAGGAGAGCTACATTCACTAGTCTTGAGTAACTTTAAAACTGGAAAGTGACTTAGACCATTATAACTATGAAGCCATCCATCCCTCACTATCTCTGGCTGGTCTTCATTGATCCTAACACCTCTCCTCTTGCCCCTTCTAACCAAGTCCCCATCTTACAGCCAAACATCCAACACACCTCTCCACCTTTACTTAAGTCATCCAACCTCTGGGCCTACAGCATAAAATTTCAACTCAGCACAAAAAAGCCTTCCATCCTCTGACCCCACCCACCTGGGCCACCCTCCTCCCGGTTTTCTGCTCCGGGGACACCCATCTGCCTTTTTTCAGACCCTCTCCCCAGCGAAAGCCTAGTCCTTCAAGACACAAGAGAAATTTATTCTCATCCAATGCTGCTTCTGTGGTCTCCAATCGTTGCCATTCCTGCTTCTATGCCTTTTCAACAACTTGCTATGGAGCACACACTTCCACAATTCTTCACCTTCAATAACTGATTATTTCTGCCTTGCTCTCCACTAGAGTGAGCTCTATGAAGGCAGAGATCCTGTCTTTCCCAGTGTCCATAACCCCCTCTGACACAGCAACACTCAATAAATTTTTGCCTGATGAATGAAACATTAACATCCCATCTGCATGTGGCAAAGGCAGGACTAGAACCCACGACTCCTCACTACACCCTCCCTCTCACTCCGTTATGATGGAAAGAATATTCCATCATAACGGTGCCGGGGAGTAAAACAATCAACATAAAACATCTAGAACTTCTAGCTCACATAGTGTGAGAAGTCTGCAGCCTTACAGGGAGAGATAATGCGAGAGACATGGGGCCGGATTACGGAGGGCCCGCATAGCCGAGCTGAGGCCAAGACAAACGTGACTAGTCCAAAGTCACAGATGTTAAGTGGAGGCGCCGCGACGCGAATCCAAGAAATGTGGCTCCAAGTCCGAGGTCCTGACAACTTGACACTGCTGCCTATCAATAGCAACCCGTTCCAGATCCAGGCACTGAACCAGAGTTAAGTGGAGGGTGGGCAAAACCACACCGATGACATGAAATGTTCTCCCAAACCCCCTTCTATTTTAAATCTCACTCCTGGACCGCAGTTTGCGCGGAGATCTACAGGGCCAAGGCGGGGCCGCGGGCAGACACCCATGCGTGTCTGTGCAATTAAATTAATGCTGTGCAATTAATAACAAAAACCAATGTATTAAAACGCCGGGCAGAGCGGTCGCTCCTTCCGTGTCTCCTGTTAGTTCAGGTCTGCGGCCGCTGTAGAGGAACCGACTCAAGGGCGGAGGCGGGGCAGGGGCGGATGGCGCCCCACTTGTCCAGGCAGCAGCCAGAGGAAGCGCCCTCCCTGGGAGGCACCGACGTCCCCGCCCCCATAACTCCTTGCCCTAGAGTCCGCTCGCTGCCCACCGCCCGAGGGGAGCCCGCGCAGTCCGCGCCCTCACCTGCCGGCCCTATGTATTTGACTACCCCCTGGGTCTTGAACACTTCTCGGGCGGCCAGCAGCGCGTCCTCGTGGTGCGCCGTGTAGAAGTCGCCCCGGTCGAAGAGGCGCACCGTGGTGGTCGGCTTCTCCGGCATCGCCTGGAAGAAGCGCACGAAGCCGACCTCGGACGCGCTCTCCAGCTGCAGCGTCTCCTTCGGCTGCACCGCCATTTCAGAACCTCTCCGCCGACTGCCGAAAGGAACTGCGCGACCCCGCACCCCCTAAGCTGTTTCCCGCCTCCCTTCCCTCCCTCCTGTGCGGCGTCCGGCCTTTGCTGAGACGCCCAATCAGCACCCACCGCTGCTTTTTGGTGGGTGGGAGTCCGCCGCGGTAGCCAATCATAAGCGGACGCGGCCCAGCTTCCCGCGCACGCTGACGACTCTTGTCTACTGCGCATGCGTAAACCTAGGTCGCGCGCCGACCCTGGCAGACAGCCATTCTGAAAAGATTTCAGGTCCAGGTTCTTCTTTCTGCTGTGCTCGCGTGGGATCTGGGTGGATGACTAGTTAGGGAAGGCGGCCAGGTGGGCCGTTCTGGCGGTTTTGAGTTTGTTATGTACCCAGAAGCATGAGAGTGAAAGCAGAAAGAAACTCGAGAACAAGGAAAAACTAGCTTTTCTCCCCATCCTACATTTTTTAAAAAACTTCACCTCCTATCTGAGCGCTGACTAATGTACTGAATCGTTGAATCACTATATTGTACTCCCGTGAGTAACAACACTGTACGTTCATGCAACGTGTCAGGTTTGGGGGGTAGGAAAAGAATAAATGAAACAAGATGGGATCGGGAGGGAGACAAACCATAAGAGACTCTTAATCTCCCAGAACAAACTGAGGGTTGCTGGGGGGAGGGGGGTTGGGAGAGGGGGGGTGGAGTTATGGACATTGGGAGGGGTGTGTGCTGTGGTGAGTGCTGTGAAGTGTTTAAACCTGGCGATTCACAGACCTGTACCCCTGGGGCTAAAAATACATTATATGTTTATTTTAAAAATTAAAAATTAAAAAAAAAACTGCACCCCTCTCTCCCTTTTCCTTGTTAAGCAAACTGACCAACATCAAAATTACAGGTTTTTTCCATTACCTCCTTATTGTTCTGTACTAGCCACATTCTTGTTTCCTCCACTCCTTAAATGACTGATTTATTAAAAAACATGTGGCCTTCTATGTGCCACCCTCTTCTAGAATTTGAGGCTCACTAGTAATGTTCAGTTTACACTAAAATAAATGAATTCAGATGATACAGTAAGTAAATTAACAGTAGTAAACTGTTAGAAGATAACTGTATTGGTGAAAAACAAAGGGTGAATTTTTTTTTATTATTATTTTTTTAATATTGAGCAAAGACCTGCAGGTCAGGATGTGTCCTGCAGTTACCTGCCTTAGGAATGTATTGCACGCTCCTGTTTGGCTCACACTTACCCTGTGGAAGCAGCCCCAACCCTGACTCAGCTGCAGAATTACTGGGGAGTGGGAGTGGGAGGGCTTTCCAAAGGTATTCTTGGGCCCCATGCACATATAAAAGCTTGGAATTTCTGAAGGTGGGGTATTGGGATCTTTTTAAAAACTTCTCCGGGGCATCTGAGTGGCTCAGTGGATTGGGCCTCTGCCTTCAGCTCAGGTCATGATCTCAGGGTCATGGGATCGAGCCCCGCATCTGGCTCTCTGCTCCACAGGAATCCTACTTCTCCCTCTCTCTCTGCCTGCCTCTCTGCCTACCTGTGATGTATCTCTCTGTCAAATAAATAAAATAAAGAAAAGAATTAGTGGTCAATGTATAATCCAGAGGCGCTTAGCTGTTAAAATACCCAGACAAAACCTTAGGAATAAATAAATACATACATACATACATACATACCTACCTACCTCTCCGGGTAGGCCTGACAATCAGCTCAGTTCTGAAACCACTGGCGTGCAAGTTAAAATCCAAATACCTTGGGAAACAGGAAGTTTGGATCATCTGACTGCAGACTACTTTCCAACAGACTTACATCCCCCACAGCTTGCAGTACTCCCTGCCTCACTGCAGCTCTGGGATCTGGGCCAGTAAATTCCCCTTCCCCAGTGCCTGGCTGTCTCAGTCCATAGAGCACAAGACTACTTATCTCAGGGTCCTGGGTTCAAGCCCAACGCTGGGCTGAGAGCTTACTGAAAAATAATAATTATAATTAAAATAAATTCCCCTTCCCTTTCGACACTTGTGGCTCCAACACAAAATTGTCCCTCTTCTGGAATGGCCCTTTCCTGCTCTTTGTGTAGCAAATTACTAGTATTCATTCTTTCTTCAGGCGGAAATGTCTCCTCAGTCAAACCTGCCCAGTTTCTGCAGATATACTTAGTTGCATTATCTTCTGGAGTACCACCTTCTTCATATTCATATTACAACAAAATTCGCTGCATTGTTTTAGAAATACCTGTTCACTTCTTTGAGCACTTAGAGAAGCCACCAATGGGTGTTTATGTTTGTAGTTAATGATAATGGTTACTGTTCATCAGCATTCATTGACTGTCAAGTGTTTTCCTTATTTTTACATGTGTTTACTGTTTTAATCTTTGAAACTCTAGGTATTACGTCCTATTGTTATACTTATTCTACAAATGAAGAAATGGAAACATAGAGATATAAAGTCACTTGCCCAAGATTACAGAGTTAGCAGTAAGTGATAGAGCTAGAGTTCTGTTTTGCTCCAGATTCTGTATGCTTACCCATCTGTGTGATGTAGTTTTTTTGAATGTTGGTATGATGGTGGGGCCCAGAGCCGACAGCCAAGAAAGAATTCCTGAGACATCTTTGGTGCAAAAAGATTTTATTAAAACACAAGGACAGGACCTATGGGCAGAAAGAGCTGCTACTCTCTGCCTGCTGCCTCCTGCTGCCCTGGGATTGTGAGGGACAACTGACTATATACCTTGGGGCTGAAGGGAGTAAAGATAAAGGAAGTTCTAAAAGGATTTTCATATGCTAAAGATTCAGGGTCCTGGAGGAATGTTATAATCTATCTCAAGTATTTGTCAATGGACTGCAGGTAATAAGGACATTTAATTTTATCTACATTTCCTTCTGCCTTTGTTTCCCACATCATGTAGGCCACAAGGCCTGGCACCTATTGGGTGTGCAGGAAATGTTTGTAAACGAATGGGCGTGGATCACAATAACTGCTTCCATATGATAACTTGGCTTTGAGTGTCACCTCATCTCTCCCCCCTTTCCCAGTTCGTGTCCTAAATAGTTCAGAGGGAAGCAGCATGGTAATAAAAAGATCTATCTCCAGGGTTGATGTGAGGATTAATGGAGGTAATAGCTTTGAAAATATTTTGCAATCTTGGAGCAACTGGGTAGCTCAGTTGGTTAAGTGTCTGCCTTTGGCTCAGGTCATGATCCCAGGGTGCTGGGATCAAGTCCCACGTCAGGTTCCCTGCTAAATGAGGAACCTGCTTCTCCCTCTGCCTGTCACTCCCCCTGTTGGTGTGTGCTCTCTCTCTCTCTCTCTGGCAAATAAGTAAATAAAGTCTTAAAAAAAAAATCATCCACCATCATCAAGTTGGATTTATTCCTGGGATGCAAGGGTGGTCAATATTCACAAATCACTCAACATGATACATCACAACAATAAAAGAAAGGATAAGAACCATGTGATCATTTGAGTAGGTATATAAAAAACATCTGGCAAAGTACAACATCCATTCATGATACAAACCCTCAACAAAGTAGGTTTAGAGGGAACATACCTCAACACAAGAAAGGCCACATATGAAAAAACCACAGTTAACATCATACTCAATGGTGAAAAACTAAGAGCTTTTCCCCTCAGGTCAGGAACAAGATAAGGATGTCTACTCTCACCACTTTTATTCACTCACTAGAAGTCCCAGTCATAGCAACTGGACAAGAAAAAGGAATAAAAGGCATCCAAATTGGTAAGGAAGAAATAAAACTTTATTATTTGCAGATGGCATAATACTACGTATAGAAAACTATAAAGACTCCACCAAAAATAACTACTGGGGGGGAGCCTCGGTGGGTCAGTGGGTTAAGCCTCTGCCTTCAGCTCAGGTCATGATCTCAGGGTCCTGGGATTGAGCCCCACATCAGGCTCTCTGCTCGGTGGGAAGCCTGCTTCCCCCCACTCTCTCTCTGCCTGCCTCTCTGCCTACTTGTGATCTCTCTGTCAAATAAATAAATAAAATCCTCAAAAAAAAAAAAAAACTACTAGGACTGATAAATTAATTCAGTAAGATTGCAGGGTACAAAATCAATGTACATAAATCCATTGTGTTTCTGTATACTAATAATAAAGCAGCAGAGAAATTAAGAAATCAATCCCATTTATAATTATACCAAAAATAATAAAATACTTAGGAATAAACCTAACCAAAGAGGTGAAAGACCTGTACTTTAAAGATTTTATTTTTAATTTCATTTATTTATTTGAGAGACAGAAAGAGAGCACAGAGGAAGAAGGAGAGGGAGAAACAGACTCCCCACTGAGCAGAATGTGATTGTCACCTGAGACAAAGGCAGACACCTAATGTCTGAGCCACCCAGGCACACTGCTTATAGTTTTTAAAGTACAGGTCTTGGGGCGCCTGGGTAGCTTAGTTAGTTAAGCATCTGCCTTCAGTTCAGGTCATGATCTCAGGGTGCTGGAATTGAGCCCCACATTGGGCTCCCTGTTTGGCGGGAAGCCTGCTTCTCCCTTTCATACTCCCCTTGCCTATGTTCCTTCTCTCGCAGTCTCTCTCTCTCTCTCTCTGTCAAATGAATAAATAAAATTAAGAAAAAAAAAAAAACCTATCAAGCAATGGGGGAACCTGGGTGGCTCAGTAGGTTAAGTGTCTGTCTGACTCTTAGTTTCGGCTCAGGTTATGATCTCAGGGTCATGAGATTGAGCTCCTCCTCAAACTCCACTCAGTGCAGAATCTGCTTGAGATTCTCTCTCCCTTTCCCCGTCTTGCTCATCCTCGCTCTCCCTCTCTCTCCCTTTTCTTCTAATAAGTAAGTAAATAAAATCTTACTTTAAAAAAGCTATCAAACTATGATACTATATGTGGAAAACCCAAGACTCCACTCCAAAACTGCTAGAACTTGTACAGGAATTCAGTAAAGGGTCAGGATATAAAATCAATTCACAGAAATCAGTTGCATTTCTCTACACCAACAACAAGACAGAAGAAAGAGAAATTAAGGAGTTAATCCCATTTACAATTGCACTCAAAAC